AGATTATCTGGTGGTGAAAATCTATGTTGCTTAAATTGTTCTGTTCTGACCTGTATTGTTATGTTGTTATGTCTTCTTTATCTAAATCTCCCCCTTTTTAAATTTATTTATTTTTTATTATTTTTTTTAATTTAGGGAAAATGTTCTTAAAAGTTAACAGGATATATTATAGTAACTTTTTTGATTTCCTATTAACTTGATTTGAAGCCCTGTTTTGCTCTTACCATCTTGTTTTGACTGATTTTACTCTATTCTGTTCTGTTTCATAGTATCAAGTCAAGGGTATAGGCAACTACTTTAAAGGTAATAAGATTCACTATGATGCCCATTTGGTTTGGCTATTATCTTCTTTTGATTCAGTAATGTCTCCAATGTTTAGGTTTTGTTGGTTTTGTTCTGTACTGTTTTGTTTAATTTTATTATACCTGACGATATAGGCAATTCTTTTTAAGGTAGCAAGAGGCATTATGGTAACCATTATTGATTACCTTGTATTCTGTTTTTACATCATGTACTATGCCTACCTTTGTTTTGATTGACTGCTTGGTTTTGTCACATTTGGTTTTATTGTCTTCCAAAAAGAAAGTAATAAGAACTGTGGGAGTAATAAAACCCAAAATTTGTAAATGTTATTGTAAAAAAGAGAGGAAAAGATAGTGCTCCAAAGGACACAACTGCAAATGTGTTTAGGTTTGTAAGACAGATGACCATATTATTGTTTTTGTTGGATCATTGAACACAACTGTTTGCAGTCTCACTGTTTGAATGTCCACTTTGTATGCTTTAATTTTGTAACTTGAACAACTATTTCTAAGATGACAATATGTAATCTATTAACTAGTGATTTCTTACTGTTTATTTTTTGAAATTCTTTATTACTTGTACCCTTTTACTGTTTTATTTTGTTTTGTTTTCTTTAAATAAGTTTTTTTTAAATGAAATAAATGTCCATTCCTTTTTATTTTCTTTTTTTTTCCTGCTAACTCTTCTTGTAAGAACTCATGTCTGATTAGTTGATGCCCACAGTACGGTATCCTCTCATCTGACACACACATTGCTGATGCCTTGTGATCTCAGATGTCCTCCGGCATGAAGAACAACAACTTCCCCACCTGAGTGATGTTCTTCACATGGTGACAAGTTGCCAGTATCAGTTTGGAAGCCCAGCATTCCTGGAGCACCCCCAGACTACTTTCTGGCGACCAAAGGTCTTCCTTTCTCAGAGGCCCTCCGAACGTCTGCCCTGCTCTCTACCATGGCCAGCTCCAGCCCAGAGGTCACTGCCCACATTGTCCCCATAGAAATTTCTCCCCTGACATCATGGATTTCAAGGCCCCATGCTGACAACAGCTTCCACCCCTCCCACCTTGAGTGGGAAGCTCCTGCTGGATGCCCATCTACACCTTTAACTTAAAGTGAAAGAAACCAAGAGAACCACTGGCATCAGTTTAACCACTTTATTAACGAGTCTGATGTCAATAGAAAGGTCTCACTCATCTATGGCTGTTTTGAGGGCAGGGTGAGGCTCTTCACAAGGTGCCTCCATACAGGGAGACCCAGGCCTTATTACTTCTTCTTGGCTTGGATGATCTCATCCAGCAGAGCATTGATGCTGTCTCCAAAAAGGTGACGAAGTAGCTCATTCTTCTCTAGTGCCTCGCCAGTTTCTTTGGGGCAATGTGTTTCTTGTGCCTGCGATGGGCCACTCTGCCTGCCAGGTGCAGGGCACGGGCTGCCAGGTATTCCAGAACCCCAGCGAGGAAAACGGGTGTGTAGGCGCTGAGCATAGCCGTCCTCTCGGAGGTAACGCTCCACGCAGCTAACAGGAAACTATAGTTGTGCTCTTGTAGAGCGGGACACTGATTATACATCTGTCACTTCTCATAAATTAAACAGATTCTTTCAGAATAATGCTATTTTATACTTCATTCAGTATCATGATTTACAGTTTGAAAATGTGATACAACTGTTTTTGTTTTATAGGACGCATTCACATACCCAGTGTATGTAACCCCTCAACATTCATAAAACAGATGTTTAGCTGATACTAATTTAAACACTCAGACTCTTCCTGACTCTGCAATGTTTTGAAAGCATTGTAGAATTTTACAGATTCTGTTTATTTTGAGTATTACCTAAATGTTTAATATTTATGTTTTGTTTATTATATTATGAGGAAAAATGCAACAAAGTTTCATAAAATAATAGAATGACAGTAGTTAATGCAATAAATATTAGCATTTTAGAAGTAGTTATTCTGGGTACAAATATGGTCATAGGAAAATCTCCAAATGACATTAGCATATAGCTTTCTTTTCAATGAACTAAGAGAAAATACTAATATAACTATCTTTTGTTTTTCCCCATAATATGTCCTTTCATTTTCCTTTCCCTTACCCTAGTATCTCTTTCCTTTTGAAAAATTTCTTCACATTTCACGATATGTTTTGCGTATTTTGGAACTGATTTCCTCTTTCAGTTTCTTACACCAGGGAAACAATACGATGCTTACACACATGAGTCTGATTCATTTCACCTTTGAGTATGCTCTCAATTTGCATCCAATATAAAACTGTCAAATTATGTCATTATATAAAAGATCACATCAATTTCATCCATTCCTCAATTTATGGGCATTTGTGATATTCCAAGGTTTTACTATTGCAAACTGTGCTGCCATAAACATAAGTGCAAATATATCAATATGGTGTGATATTTTTAATTCTTTTGGGAAAATACCCAAAAGGGGATAGCTGGATCAAATGAAACTTCTAATCTTAGTTTTCTGGGTAATCTCCATACAGATTTCCACAGTGGTTGCACCAGTCTACACTCTCACCAAAAGTGGAGAATACCTTTTTTCCCACAGCATTTGTTATTTGTTAATTTCTTAATGATAGCCATTCTTTCCGGGGTAATATATAATATCAGTTATGTGTAAATATTTCTCAAATGACCGTTTTGTTGAAAATTCTTTCACATATTTATTTGCCACTTGTTTTTCTTCATCTGAGAAGTATGTATTCATCTCAGATGGCCATTTTTTATTGTGTCTTTGAATTTGGGGGCCTGGCTTTTTAAAGTTCTTTACATGTTCTAGATAGAAGTCCTTTCTTTGAGGGACAATTGGATAATACACTTTCCCAATCTGTAGGATTTCTTTTCACTCTGTTGGTGATTTTTTTGATGAGTAAAAGCATTTTAATAACAAGCAAGCCTAGTTCTTTCAAGTACTTCCTGTGCAGTTTGATTATTGTTCACGAACTCTCTGCCCATCTACATGTCTTTGATATTTCTACCGACTTTTTCTTACAGTAGAATTAGAATTTTTGTTTTAATATCTAGGTCTTTGATCTATTTTGACTAGGTTAGTTCATGCTGATGTTTAGTCTTCAATATGTGGAAAGTCAGCTTTTCCAGCACCATTTATTAAAGAGGCTATCTTTTGTTCAATGAACATGCTTGATTATAGGTCAAAGATAAGGTGACTGAGTATGTTTGTAACTCTGTCTGCATCTTATAATCTGTTCCATTGATCTTCAGGTCTGTTTTATGTATTTATTTTTTTGGTAGTACCATGCCAATTTTGTCATAGATTTGTATTATACTCTTACATAATGAATTGTATTGCCTCCTGTCTTGCTATTATTACCGAAGATTGCCTTTGTTATTCTGGGTCTCTTCTGTGTCCAAATTAATGGTAAGAATATTTTCTCTAGACTTGTGTGTTGTATACTAATTGAATTTAATGTAGGTTTAATTAAATCTTTGTGGCAGTTTTGAGAGTATTTCCATTTTCACAATGTTGGTTCGTCTTATCCATAAACAAGTGATACATTTAGTTCTCTTCTATTCTCTTTTTTGAGAGTACTATAATTTTTAATATTCAGTTATTTTACTCTCTTTGCTAGATTAATTCCCAAGTATTTCATATTTTTCAAGGGTTTTCTGAAAGATATGGTTTCCCTAGTTTATCTCTCAGTGGGTTTGGTTTTTTTTTAGATGAATGCTATTGATTTTAGAGTGCTGAATTCATATCCAGCTACACTACTTAATTTGGTCATTAATTCTAGAAGTGTTTGGTGGAGCTTTTGGAGTCTTCTGTGTAGTCATGTCATATGCAAATAATGAGAATTTACCTTCTTCCTTTCCTCTCTTTATCTGTATGATTTCTCTCTCCTGTCTAATTGCTCTGTCTAATTTTTCCAGAACTATATTGCATAAGAGTGGTAAGAGTGGATATCCTTGTCTTGTTTCGGATATGAGATTCACAGATTTCAGTTTTTGTCCATTTAATATGTTTGCTTTTGGTTTCTCATAGATGGCCTTTATCAGATAGAAATAAAGAACATCTACTCCGATTTTATGTAGGATTTTTTAAATCATGAATTAGAGTTGAATTTTATCTAAAGTTTCTTTTTCTACATCTGTTGAGATGATCATATGATTTTAGTCTTTGTCTCTTGATGACATGGTGTATTCCATTTATTGATTTGTGTATGTTGACCCATCCCCACATTCCTGGGATAAATCCCACTTGGTCATGGTGTATAATCTTTCTTGATTATTTGCTGCATTTTGTTTGCTAGTATTTTATTGAAGTTTTTGCATCTATCTTCACTAGGAATATATACTTGCAGTTCTTTTTTTTGGGGGGGCGGGGTCTTTTTGTAGTTTTGGTATCAGGGTAAAACTTGCCTCCAGGAATTTGGTTTTTTATTTAAAGAAAAAATACAGGGTCCTCCTGCTCATTACTGTCCCTGGTCCTTTAGTGTAGGGTTGTGTTGAGATTATTACCAGAGAGTTTCCCACTATTGTTGCAGAATGGAGACTAGCGTTGTACAACAGATATGAAATCCTAGTTACAATAGCAAAATTGACAACAACAATACAATTAAGTACAATTTAGAAGTTAAAATCTGGGATAACTACTGATTTTTTACTTTAGATTATAGGACCAAGTCTAAAGTTATAGAACACAACTGATCATAAATTAGGAGTTTATTTGCAGGGTGTCTCACCTTGGTAAAGTGGTTTTACCCGGTAGTGAGGAAATTTAGGGAGGATAATACATAAAATAAAGATAACCTGAAAGAAGAAAGCTGGAGGGCAAAGGGTGGTTATGTAAGGTTTGGGAAACTGGAGAAGTGGGTAGAAAAGAAAGAAGGAAAGTATTTGAGGGAATATCTGAACTTGGCATCTGGGTTTGGGGAATAAGATTAGTTTTGAGTGGCTAGAATTCTCCCCAGCTGATTAGAAAAAATGAAAATATCTAGGATTGTAAGTCCCATTCGACCCAGCTATTCCACTTCTCAGCATATTCCCAGAAGAACTGAAAGCATCATACCACAGTGACATATGTGCACCTATGTTTATAGCAGCAGAATTTGTAATAGCCAGATCTTGGAAACAACCCAAGTGTCCATCAACTGAGGAATGGATAAAAAAGTTGTGGTATTTCTATATAATGGGGTACTACTCAGCTATAAAGAATGATCACATTGAGATATTTATAAATAAATGGATGCAACTTGAGACCATACTCATAAGTGAAATAAATCAAACCCACATGTATAAAAACCGTATAGTCTCCCTAGTGTAAGAAATGATGAGTACATAAAAGGGTTTATGGTAATCATGATTCCCAATTACGTTGCTTTGAAGCCTTATAATAATTGCATTCATTAGTTGGAATGGTTTTATCCTGGTTTGTTTGATTTTATTATCTGTGATGGTATGAACAGCTATTTTGAAGAAAACAAGTCATTATAATAGCCAGTGCTGATTTAATATCATCTTACTCTGAAGTCCTACCATGCTTTTGTTCTTCTGTTTCCATTGGTTCTATCGTGTGGTATCTTATTGGATTGTATTACGTGTGATAGTATAAACAAATTTTCTATGGAAAATTGTTCATTTTCTGTTACTTGGTTCTGAATGCCCTGTAACACTTTCATTCTCTTGAATGGTTTTATACTATTTTGCTATGTTTGATACTATTGTATTTGAAGTTATGTTAAACTATTTCAAAGAAAGAGACATTATGGTAATTACTGTTAATTACGGGTTGTCTTCTTGTGAAAGACTGTGTTGCTTACATTTTTCTATTCTGATCTGTTTTGCTATGTCCTGTTTTGTCTTAATCTCTTTAAAATAAAAAATAAAAAATGAAAAAAGAAAGATCAGAGGAACGAAAAAAAGAGCAAAAAAGAAAACAAAAGACAAGAAGAAAGAAAAGAAAAAATGGGAGAAAATGACTGATTACTGTCCTGGACTGTTCTGGTGCTGGTTGCTGGTCCCACAGTGTGGTGAGAGGGTATAGATACCTGGATTCCCCAGACATATCTGGTTGCTAAGTCCCTGCTTTTTCCCCTGTTAGTTGCTGATCTCACTTGTTGGCTCCAGTTCCTTCTGAAAATTCCACTTCACTAGTCCTGCCTCTCCATCCTGCGCACCATAGCTGGAGTCCCTCATGTGTGGCTGACATCTGTAGGTCTCTGTGTCTTTGCATGTTGCTTTTCTCCTGAATCCTGGTAGTCACGATGGGAGGGACTGGACTGGGTCTTTGAATTTGAGGAGTCTCGTATTTTTCAATTCTTTATATGTTCTAGATATAAGTCCTTTTCAGGGGGACAATTGGATGAAATTTTTGACCACTCTGTGCTTGTCTTTTCACTCTGTTGATTTATTTTATTGTACAAAATCTTTTTAATAAGTTGACATCCCACTTGTTCATTCCATGCAGTATTTCCCTTTTGATCTGAGCTTTGCTCATGAAGTCTCTTCCTATGCCTATGACTTTAAGATTTCTCTCTATTTTCTCTTCCTATAGATTTAATGTTTCTACATTAATATTTAGATCTTCAGTCCATTTTGATTTTAGTTTAGTGCATGGTGATGGACATAGGTCTAGTTCAATTTTCGGCTTGCAGAAAGTCAGTTTTCCCAGAAACATTTATTAAAGAAACTCTTCCAGTGAACATTTTTGGCTCCTTTGTCAAAGATAAGCAGGCTGAGTGTGTTTGTTGCTATGGCTGTATCTTCTAATGTATTTCATTGATCCTCAGATCTGTTTTTGACAGTGCCATGCTAATTTTATCACAGTACTTTTGTACCATAATTTCAAGTCAAGGATTCTGATGCTTTCTGACTTGCCTTTGTTGCCCAGAATTGCTTTTATTATTTGAGGTCTCTTCTGTTTCCAAATGAATTTTAGGAATGTTTTCTCTGGTTCTGTGAAATATGCTAATAGAATTTTGACTGGAATTGCATCAAATCTGTATAATAATTATGGGAGCATGGCCATTTTCATTGTTGCTTCTTCCCACCAGTGAGCAAATGATAGCTCCCCATTTTCTGATATCTTTAATTTCTTTTTTCAGAATACTATAATTTTCAATACATGAGGTTTTTTTCCTTTATTAGATTGATCCCTAAATATTTCCTTTTTTTAATGCTACTGCGAAGAGTATAGTTTCCATAATTTCGGTGAGTTTGTTGTCTGTTGTCAAGAAAGCTATTGATTTTTGATCGTGGACTTTGTACCAGCTGCTCTATTGAATTCAGTTATTGAATCTATAAGTCATTTGGGGGAGTTGTTAGTGTCTTCTATGTAGAGTATCATGTCATTTTGAAATAATGGTTAATTAACTTCTGCCTTTCCTATTCTTATTCCTTTTATTTTTCTTTTGTCTAATAGTTTTGCCTAATATTTCCAAAACTATATTGAATACTAATGGTGAGTGTGGACATCCTGGTCTTGTTCCTGATTTTTGTGGGAAACCTTTCAATTTCTGACCATTTATTATAATGCTATCTGTTAGCTTGTCATAGATAGCTTTTATCAGATTGAGATGAAGATCATCTATCCCAATTTTGTGTAGTTTTTATCATGAACGCACAGTGGACTTTGTTAAATCCTTTTTCTACATCTTTTGAGATGATCATGTGATTTTTATTTTGTCTGTTATTATGATGTACCATATTTATTGATGTGCATATGTTTAATCATCCCTGCATCCCTGAAATGAGTGCTACTTGGTCCTGGTATATAATCTTCTTGACAACTTGTTGCATTCTATTTTTCAGTATCTTGTTGACAATTTTTATGTCTGTGTTCTCTAGGGAGATTGGGCTGTAGTTTTCCTTTCTGGTTGAGTCTCTAGTTTTTATGTCAGGAATGATTTTGAAATTATTGTTTTTTTCAATTTCATTAAATATTTTCAGCATTAGTGGTATTAATTCTCTAAATTTCTTGTAGAATTCCACAGTGTGTCCATCAGCTCTTGGGCTTCTCTTTGTAGGCAAGCTTTTATTTAGATTTTCAGTTTTATTGACTGATATTGGATTATTTAGAAATTTTATATATTCCTGATCTTATTTGACAACTAATATTTTTCTATGAATTTATTCATTTCTTCTGTGTTTTCCATCTTATTAGAGTACAGCTTCTCAAATTAGGTGTTGATGATCTGGATTTCTTCTGGATCCACTGTGGTGTTAATCTTTTCATTCCTAATTGCTTAAGTTTGAGTCTTTTCTCTTTTTGATGAGGTCATCTAAGGATTTATCTATTTGATATAATCTTTCAAAAAACAATTCTACTCATTGATTCTTTGTATTGCTTTATCTCAATTGCATTAATTTCTGTTCTATGAACTTTGGTTTAATTTGTTCTTGTTTTTCTAGAATTCCGAAGCTCAACATTAGGCTGTTTATTAGAGCTCACTTTTTTAATGATGTGAGAATTCATTGCTATAAATTTTCTTTGTAGGATGGCTTTCATTGCATTCCATGAATTCTGGTATGTTTTATTTGTACTATTATTGAATTGTGGATAGAATTTTTCTTCTTTAATGTCTGTTGTGATCCATTGGCTGTTCAGGATGGTGTTGTTGAATTTCCATGTTTTTATGTAATTTTTGTGGTTTCTTTTGCTGTTGATTTCCTATTTCACAGTGCTATTGTCAGATAATATGTATTGGATGATGTCACTTCCCTTCCATTTACTTGAGCAAGTGTTATGGGCTTAAGTGTGCTGTTTATTGGAGCACATCCCATGTGCAGTTGAGAAGAATGTGTACTCTGATATTGTGCTGTGAAACACTGTATATATCTACTAAGTATATTTGTTCACAAGTTTTATTTCAGTCTAATATTTCCGTGTTGAATTTTTTGTCTAGTTGATCTATCTGTGAGAGTCAACTATTAATGTTGCTTATTACAATTTTGTTAGAGGTTATTTTATTTTTCATGTCTGATATTCATCTTGTTTTGTTGAATGTACCAGTAGTTGGGATATATATATATATATATATATATATATATATATATATATATGATTGTTATCTCTTCTTGATGTTTTCCCTTAATAAGTATATAGGTGACCTTTTTGTCTCTTTATCAATCTAACTTGAAGTTCACACTGTTTGCAATAGAAGAATAGCTGCACCCATTTTCTCTGGGTTCCTGTGGCATGGAGTATTGTTTTCATCCTTTGACTTTCAGTCTTTGAATTTCTTTTTCAGTTAAATATGTTCCTTGAATTCAGTATAATGTTGGATCTTGCTCCTTCGTTCTTATAGTCTATTTCTTTTGATTGATGAATTGAGACCACTTACATTGATGGCTATAACTGATATGTATTGGCTTATCTTTTCCATGTTATTCTCCTATTGTTGGTTCCCTGTTTTTCTCTTTTGTTTAATAAATTATCTTGCCTCGTGGCTTCTTTCTACTGCTGTTCTTGTGGTCTTTGTTTTTTCTTTCTAATATATTTTTCAGAGCATTCTAAGTAGCTGGTTTGATGGTCATGAATTCCTTCAGTTGTTCTTTGCCATGGAAGTATCTGACATCTCCACTGATTCTGAAAGGGAGTTTTGTGGTATACATTGATTTGGGTTGAAGTTTGTTTTCTTTTTATTCTTGAAATATCTCTCTCCAAACTCTCCTTGATTTGAGGGTTGGTGTTGGGAAGTCTGCTGTGATTCTGATGGACTTTCCTTTATAGGTGAACTATTTTTTCTAATAGTTTTTATATTCTATTCTTATGCTGAATTTCTTGAATCTTAATTATTATTTGCCATGGTGTAGATTTATTTTGATCTTGGCTATTTGGAATTTTATGCTTCATTTATTTGTATGTTAAATTCTCTGTCCATGTGTCAGAAATTTTCTTTCATTACTTCTTTGAAGAACTTTTTTATGACATATATGCTGTCTCTAGTTTTATCACTGACTTCAATCAATCTTATGTTGTTCTTTGCTTCATTTTGTAGTTGTTGGACTGATTTTTTATAGTATTTACTATTTTTAAGTTGTCTTTCTTTACATGGTTACTAGCCATAATCTGGTTTTCTAGATCTAATATTCTGCCCTTTCTTTCATTTAATCTGATGCATGTACTTTCAACATAGCTTTTAATCTCCTGGATTTATGATTAAATATCTTTTGTGAATTCCATTTATTCCCTATTTTGGACAGTCATAGTTTCTATCATTTTCCTGAACTCTTCTATTTTTTTCATCTTTATTTGCTTTAATGTCTTCCGTTTTGATCATCATTCTTTTTTCTATTTTAGAGATTATTTTTCTATAGCATCTTCTATTGCTATCATTTCAGAAAGTTCTAGTGGTTAGCTTCCAATTTTCTCTATCTCATTGTGCTCTGCACTTGTCTTGGTTTGGCCAGGGTTCTGGAGTTGCATTTTTGTTACAAATCTTATCATTTTCTATTTTATTTTCTGTTAATACTTGTGGATATCTTATAGTAGATGTCATTATCTCTAATATCCAGGCTTCCCAGGGAATGTCTATTCCTCGGGGATGCCTTCTAGATGTAGATTTTTCTTGGTCTTTATCTTGTACTTGAAGAACCTGCCTTCCAAATTTATTAAAAATGAGAATTTGCTATCTATTTGGCTAAGCACCTGTCCTTTGGTACTGGACTATGGTGCTGGCGATGGTTGTGATCCCACACATTCATAGTGTTGTTATATAAGGGAGATAAGTGGGCTGTAATTGTTATGACATTCTGGCTAAAATAGTTAGCAAAAACAATAGTCTCCAGCACATCTTGGCAACTGAAAATCTGTGGTAACCATTAGGCTGATAATTTTAAACACAGGAGCAAATTCTATAGTTATATAACAAAATGCAGCATATACCAGTAACTTATAGGCAGTTATTTTCCCTTTAGTGGAGAGATTTTAATCCCTGTTGTGGGGAGGGAATTAGGAGGAATAGGGGCCAAGACAGGGAGATGAATGAGGTCAAATACCGTAGCACCAAGGCTAGAGGGCAAAAGATGATCACTCCAATTTTGGGAAACTATAGGCCACAAGAGGGAAAGAATGGAAGAGAAAGCAAAGGAGCACTGAAGCAAACCAGAAATGGAAGATATAATGTTAACTCACATGAAAGTATCATAAAATCAAGTGAGATAGTTTAGGAGAGCAAACTGAAATGTGGAAGAAAACAAAATGAAAGATAAGAAGTCTAAGTCTTGAAGGAAAGAGAAAAGAAAACAAACACAAAACCCAAAACCACAAAAAAACAAAAGCAAATACAAAACAAATCAGAAAAACAGAGAAAAATTAAATAAAATTCATTTGATATCTACAGTTCTGTGGTAGGTCCAAGTTGGATCCCAGAAATGTGTGCTCCAGCAAAGTTATCAGCGGGATATATGTTGAATAAGGGGCTGATCTTGGCCTAAGCATGTGGGACCTGGGACTGATCTTCTGTTGCTGAAGCTCTCCTAGAGCCCTTTGATTTTTTAAAAAAAGTCAACCCCAACCACTCACTTCTATTCTTCCTGTTTGTGTGCCAAAGAACAACCCCAGTTCACCTAACTTACCAAACGATAGATAATGTGCTCACTTCTGCTTTGGAGTATTCCACGCTGCTGGTTGCACCTGCATATCATGTGCATAACTTATAGGGCATTCTTGGGTCACTGAGTTTTCCATATTGGCTGAGCTCAGTTAGATCCTCAATATTTAAATATATAATTCACTTTTTAAACTAATTTTAAAATTTGTTTTCTATTTATTTCTTTGCTTTCAACCAGTTACTGTAATTATTGACAACATGGCTGGGAATCTGGTTTCAGGATCTGACCATCTGGAGATTTCTAAAATGATTAATATTAATCTGATCTCTGGTGGATAAAAGACAAGAAAAAAATTTACTGTGTGGTTTTATTTTTCTATTCATGTATTCTGACCAACTCTATGAAGAATTGCGTAATAATGGGAAGAACAAACATTTCTGATATGCAGAACAGGAGATTTTATACTTTTCTGTTTGCATCTGACACAAGATTGAATTGTAGGTCTGTTATAAGCTCTATTTTACTATGTGAATATATCTCTGTAATTTCAGAAATATTTCCACTTCAGATGTTCTGTACAAAGTTTTCCTACCTCTGGAGTGTAATGATAGATTATAATGTTACTAAAATTAATGGATTTCTGTTTTAATTGGTATATACTGAGACCTCCCTGTTGTGACCATCTCCTTCTGATTTCTTCCTCTGCACAGCCTTCTATTGTTTTTCTCTAAGAGGTGACACGAGGTGTTTATCACATCCAGTGGTCTCAGAATCCAGCAATTTCCTGTGTAATAGGCCCACTGAACTGTGGGTATGCATGTCTGAATACATACTTAGAGGAGAGAAAACATATAGCTTGGTACTAAATGATGCTTTGTATCAAAAAATGGGTGAACTGGCAGGATTATCAGTACAATAGGACTTAAATTTGGGAAAATTCCCAGATGGAGGGACTTATATTCCTCATCTTACTCTGAGGAAAGACTTATTTTTGTTCAGAGAGAGGAGTAGAACATGCAAGTCACATGGTCCTACACTGAAATCTGAAACCTGGTTCTTCTGGTTCTGTTATAGAAGCTGACTGGGAAATTTCTGATTATTCCTGTGTGAATGGGTAACAGACAATAGAGGGTAACACTGGAGGACTTGATGAATACTGAACTCTTCAAATGGAGACTTTCAGGGGTAAGGTGAAGATAGCGGCAGCACTTGATATGAATTCTTTTTAAAACTGCACAGGAGCATGTCTATAAGAACTATATATACTGAGTTCATCACTTGGGAGAGAATTACACATTTTCTAGTTAAACCTCTGTCTCAGTTACTTTTGGTCTCATTGCTGAAACAAAACAGCCAACAGAGAAAGTTAAAAAGAAAAAGGTTTATTTAGCTCACAATTGGTAGAGGTCCCAGTCATTAATCTTCTAACTCCTAGGAAGGATGGTTTGGCAGAGGGGGGATCCCAGAAGACAGACAATTTAGGGCAGCAGAAGAGAGCAAAAGTGAACAAGGAAGGGAGAAGACAAACTTCATTTTGTTCCTTAAATTGTATCCAAGCTACTGGAATCATGGCAGTGCCAAACCAATTAGGATACTGATTGGGTAGACAAACTCTTAATCCCAGCATCACACACTCTAGATTCAACCATCTCCAAAAAGTCCTACCTGTCACCACATGAGGCTTTGGGTGAACATCTACACATAAACCATAATAACCTATCAAAGGATATATCCTAGTGCTAATACTTCATTGCTATTCTTCTAAATATCTTTTATAAAGGATGCTACCCAAAGAAAGATTCATGGCTGCGTTTTAAAGTAAATATAGTTATAAACACATGTTTTTATTAATAAGTAATTCTCACTAAATACTGCCTTGGGTAGTGCTATTATTACATGTCATTGATGAACCAATTCTTAAATTGTCCACAATAGAGGACACAACATTACATTCACTGTGCTTGCAAATGATTTCTACATGAATTTATCTTTTTGAATGAGGCAGTGTACAGAAAATAATTACACAATTCAACCAGAAAACATTCATTATTTGTCTGTTTTCTTCCCATTTTGCCATTGCACCTGAGTCTTCACATAAATTTTTGTTCCTGCACAATTCAATTCTTCCAAACATTCTTCGCCACTGCCTACATCTGTTGCCATCACCTCCTTTATGACATGATGTCTGCTTTGCTTATCTGACCACCTCAGTGATAGTCTTAAGCTCCTCCCCAATTGCCAGTGTCCTGCTGAGAATCCATCATGCATGGGAAATCCCTACTCAAATTCCTGGCCCACGTCTTCTTCATTCGGAACCCCTAAGCATATCTCCTCTGCTTTCTAAAACAACCACACCTTCCCCTTACACCATTGCTTGCATCTGTCCCATTGAAACCACAACCCTGAAATCACTGATTCAAAGACCTAACCAGACCACAGCTTCCCGACCACACATGCCCTCAGCCCACACATCGACCCTCTCTATGGCAGCCCTTCCCAACGCCCCTCAGACATCTCCTGCACAAAATGACAGAAACAAAGTCAAAACCAATGCCATGATTTAAAGCCTTTATTAGCATTTGCTGATGACAACAGTGGGGCCACTTCTTCCATGAGACATCCTAGCTCTAGTTAAGCCTCAGAGGCATCCCCCTATGCTCTGCTAATCAATTTCATCCATTCCTTCTGGACCCAGGTTTCTCATCCAAAGAGAGAAGGACACATCCAGGATGATAGGAGGATGCTCATGGTTGTTGTGTGCTTCTCTCTCTCTCTGCTTTGTGGGTTGGTGGGCATCCTGACCTCGATGTTGCCCCCAGAGCCTACCAGCATCAAGATGTAGTCAGTAAGTGATTTGATCATGGCATGGATAAAATGGATAAAGTCTGATGTGGTGGATGACAAGCACGGGTCAAGTTCTTCATGCAGAGTACAGGGCATATCATTCACACGTAACTGTTGCTGAGGTCTGGAAGCAGGGCCTTCCTGCTCATTGCTGTCTGTGTGGGGACCCTCTTGGTTCTTCTGTTCATACATGATGGTTGCTTGCTTGGAGCTCTGGTGTACTCTGCCTGCTTCACCAGTTGTACTAGGTCTCTCTAAAGCCATCAGCACTCAGACCTGCACATTGTACCCCCAACTTCTCTCTCACTGGTGAGGCGCTGGCTTTGTGACAGCCTGGACTTTGTGGTGTCCTTGATGTCCACTGGACTCTGGTCCAGCCTCCCTCAGCCTGGTCATGCCTATAATATTATCATGGTTTCTCTAGGAAATGAATACACTTTTGAAGGAACTAACTTTCTACTTTAACACTCTAGAAAAAAGTGTTTCAATTGAAGCATTGCCATGTTTTCAGCACACCATTCACATTTTCTGATCCTAGCTGCACAATATCTTTGCCCTCTTTCAGATTCTTTTGTAAACCACTGGTTGCTGACACACATGCTGAATCCTTTGCCCATTACAACCCAATTTGTCTTTGGGATCGAGGTGAGGGAAAATCAATTTTGCTTCCATTGACCAACATACTCAAATATTTTTAATAAATATTTCTAGGTCTTGTCTATAGACTCTCAGGGTGTTTATGTTTGCCATTTCTCTCATGAGTTAAACACAATCTTTCAGAGTAATTCAATTTGAAATATTACTGAATAGCATGATGAACTGTTTGCAAATACCCTATGCCTGTTTCAGAGGCCACATTTATTTACCCAATTGATTCACCCATAAACATTCATATCACAGACCAGCCAATGGTGCTCATTTAAAGCACAAGCCTGTCTTTTTTTCACTCTTCAAGATACATCCAAAGCAAAGTAGCACTTTACTTAATCTGTTTTTTCTGATTGTCATTCCAATGTCTACTTTTATAATTAAATTTTCTGTTCTACTAGTTTCATGTTTGTTTTGCTTTTAATCCCTTCTTCCCAACCAGTAATTTTTATTACTGATAAATTAAGTGGCAATCTGTTTTCAGGCTCTAACCATCTGGAGATTTCTACAAACATTTAAGATGTAATCTCCATTGGATGAAATATGAGAGATAATCTCATCTGTCAGGTTTTGAGTTTCTATTTGTCTCTTTTCTTTTTTAAAAATTTTATTTAAAGACAAAAAAGCAAAGCAGAAAAAAAGTAGAAATAATGTAGAATTAAAAAAAACACTAAGAAATCACTAACTGATAAATTACATATTGTCATCTTAGAAACTTTTGTTCAAGTTACAAAATTAAAGCATACAAGTGGACATTAAAACAGTGAGACTGCAAACAGTTCTGTTCAACGATTCAACAAAACTTAGTAATATGGTCATCTATCTTACACCCCTAAACATACTTGCAGTTATATCCTTTAGAGCACTTTCTTTCCCTGTCTCTTTTGATGAAAAAAGATGTAAATATAACATTGTGTCTTTTTTCATCAAGTCAATTAAAAATTTCATATACACTGGAAATAGAACAACATTCTTACACAGCAGCCAGATTTAGCTCTTTCCTGGTTGCAGTTGACCATGATTGCATTGTAGAGGTGAAGTTATAATATCTATTTCTCTGCACATGTCTCTGGAATTCAGAAATATTTTACTATCTTTTTTTTGGGGGGGGTCTTTTTTTGAGACAAGGTTTCATTGTATGGTTCGGGCTGGCTTTGAACTCGCTTTTTAGCCCAGGCTGATCTGGAACTCATGGAGATCCTCCTGCCTAAGCCTCCCAAGTGCTAGGATTATTGGTACCTTATATCTCGTCTGGATAGAAATATTTTTGTTCTTGATTTTGGATGTAAAGTTTTCCTACATCTGGAGGATATTGATAAACAATAGCATAGTATAAATTAATGGAATTCTATTCTAATTGGCATATAGAGCGAACTTCCTGGTGAAGCCATCTCCTCTTGCTTTTTCTTTTTGCATGGCAATTGCCTGTTTTTTCTCAAGAGGCAACACTTGGTGGTTGTCACAGCCAGTGATTCAGCACTCAACATTTACCTGCGGTCCAGGTCCCACTGCACTGTGGGTAAGCATGTCTGAGCATGTGAGTTAGAGATGGGGACAGATACAGCTTGTTATTACAGGCTTCTCTGTACCACAGAATGGCTGAAGTGGTAAGTTTACAAGTACACGTGGACTTACAGTTGGGAAGACTGTAACGATAGAAGGACTCTTACCTTTCTAATGATAGAAGGACTCTTATCTTTCACCTAAAACATGAGGAAAAACTGGCTAGTGCTCAAAGGGTGCAGAAGATCACAGGGCCATACTGTGGTGCACTGTAATCTGAAGCTCAGGCGTTCTGGTTCTGTTGTGGAAGCCAACTGGGCAGCCACTAAGCAGCTCTGTGTGAAATGACAGCAGGCAGCAGAGGGTAGCATGGAGGAACCAAGTGAAATATTCAAATGGGGTTCCTCAAAGACAACACAAATGCTGCAAGAGTTCATGTGAATCCTAACTTTTATTCAAAGCTATGAGAATATGTTCATAAAAATGCATGTACTTTGACATAATCATTTAGGACAGAATTACTTATATTAGTGTTAATCCTCTTAAAGGATGTATTTAGAAACTGGTATTTCTTCACTGTTCTTTCAAAGATCTGGTCAGTATGTGATGACATACAAATATGAGGTTGATGATTGCATTTTCAAGAAAATATATTAAATACTTACGTTGTTTTGTAATTAATAATTACTATGAACTACTTGCCTGTCTTAGGTGACACCATTCATTTCAGATACTACTGCAATTTAACAGTGTCAAAAAGAGAGAATAGAGAATTGTTTTCAATATGCAAGCAAATATTTCTCATATCAACTCATCTTTTATGATAAGACTTTATACCATTAAATGATAAAAGAAATCAATATGCATAATTCTTGTTTTGTACTTTTCCTTCTTATTTACCCATCACAGCTCAGTCTTCATGTAAAAGCTCCTGTCTTAGTTCTTGAAATTATTTTCCCACCAATGTCCCCCACCATACATCCATTCACACCACCTTTAGATTCAGACCTTCCGAACCATAAAAAAGCCTTGCCCACCTTAGTGATAGTCTTAAGCTCTGCCCCAGTTGCCAGTGTCATGCTGAGAATCCAACATGCCTAGGAGATCCCCACTCAGATTCCTGGCCTCCGAGGGCCTTTTTTCATTCAGAACTATTAAACATATCTCTTCTGCTTTCTACCACAGCCACCTCTTACCGAGACCACCGTTTGTATCTTTCCCATTGAAACCACAACCCTGAAATCACTGATTCAAAGACCTTACCTGACCACAACTTCCCTCCCAACCATTCCCTCAGCCCACCCGTCCACCTTCTCTGTGGCAGGCCTTCCCAATGCCCTTCAGACACCTCCTTCACAAAATGACAGAAACAAAATCAAAACCAATGCCATGATTTAAAGCCTTTATTAGCATTTGCTGATGACAACAGTGGGGCCACTTCTTCCATGAGACATCCTAGCTCTAGTTAAGCCTCAGAGGCATCCCACTATGCTCTGCTAATCAATTTCAACCATTTCTTCTGGACCCAGGTTTCTCATCCGAGTAAGAGAAGGACACGTCCAGGATGATAGGAGGATGCTCATGGTTGTTGTGTGCTTCTCTCTCTCTTTTTTGTGGGATGGTGGGCATCCTGACCTCGTTATTGCCCTCAGAGCCTACCAGCATCAAGATGTAGTCAGTAAGTGATTTGACCATAGCGTGGAGAAATTCTGATGTGGTGGATGACAAGCATGGGTCAAGTTCTTCATGCAGAGTACAGGGCATATCACTCACACGTAACTGTTGCTGAGGTCTGGAAGCAGGGCCTTCCTGCTCATTGCTGTCTGTGTGGGGACCCTCTTGGTTCTTCTGTTCATACATGATGGTTGCTTGCTTGGAGCTCTGGTGTACTCTGCCTGCTTCACCAGTTGTACTAGGTCTCTCTAAAGCCATCAGCACTCAGACCTGCACATTGTACCCCCAACTTCTCTCTCACTGGTGAGGCGCTGCCTTTGTGACAGCCTGGACTTTGTGATGTCCTTGATGTCCACTGGACTCTGGTTTGGCCTCCCTCAGTCTAGGCATGTCTAGCATATGAGCCTGGTTGCCCTAGTAAATGAATACACTTTTGAAGGAACTCTAACTTTCTACTTTAACATTTTAGAAAAAAAAACTGTGTTTCAATGAATATGTTGCAGTATCTTTAACACATCGCTTAAGGTTCCCTGCTGGCACCCTCTAATTTCTTAGAATACTTTAGCTAGACATGCTAAATGCTTTGTCCAGTAAGAGGTATATTTTTCTGCCTGACCATGGTGTAATGAAAACTATTTTGCATCCATTTATAAAATTTTTTTAATATTTATTATAACTACTTCCTTCTGCTCTTTGGCTGCTTTTTCAAACTTCCTGTAATATCTTTTTTTAAATTTTTATTTTAGAGAAGATAATTCAAGGAAAATAAAACAGAAAAAAAATTAAAAACTCAGTGTAATTGATATAAGACTTCAAAACATTACAAAATCAGTGCTAGTTACCATAATGCCCTTTTCTGTCTTTAATATCACTGCAGATACCTTCAGACATAGTAAAAATCCAACAAAACAGAAAAAAATGAAAACATTGAAACCAAAGAATGAATACCATAAAGTATTTCAAAAGACCCAATAGTAAATCCAAAATGGCTACCATAATATATCTCGCTGTCTTTGAAACAGCTGCTCATGCCATTGGATATAACAAAATCAAGAAAAATTTAAGAAAATAAAACCCAGCCCAACAAAACAATCAAAATGAAACAAGACCCCAAAACAAGACAACAGAAAACAAAAAATGGCTACCACGCTCAGAAAGAAATACCCCTAGAGGCCACATCGCCTACCACTATCCTCTGAACAGATGATCAAACCACTGTCTCTAGACCTGCAAGGTCAGTGAAACACCAAAATACCACAAGCATCAAATTGAATTTCATTTCCATAACTATCATCACAGCCTTTGCTTCTCCAGATCAGCTGGTTATATATGGGAGGAGGTGGGGAACAGTATTTCTTATATGCCAGCCCACGTGTCTGTTGGGGTTGGAGTCTGGCTATCTCCACTCTGGTGGCAGCCCACACATGGCACTACTTTGCAGGGCAGTTTGATTCTTGGTTTGGCCTTGTTCGCTCTCCCTGCAGTCTGTTAATATTGCTGCCTCACAGGGAATGGCTTGGGTCTGGCTGTCCCCACTCTGGTGGCAACCTGAATATCTTTTAATTGTCTCATAAGTTAAAGAAATTCTTGCAAAATATTTTCATTTACTATCTGGGTGGATATCATGATTTAGCTGTTTGAAAATATCATACAACTGTCTTGGAGACCACATCTATTATCCCAGTGGATCTACCTGTTAATAATCATAACACAAGTGTATCCCATATGCTCAGTTAAAGACCAAGACTGTATTTTCTTGACTCTCCTATGTGTATTCAAAGCATACCAGGACTTTACTGATTGCTTTTTCTGAGTGTAATTTCAGTGTTTATTTTGTAATTCACTTTCACCCTCCAAGTTTAAGGTGTTTATTTTTAATTTGAATGCCTTGCTCTCAGCCGGTTATTCTTATTATTGTCCAAACTGTTGGGAATCTGGCTTCAGGATCTAAGAGAATCTGGAGACTCCTGCAGATGATAAGTAGAAATCTAGCCTCTGTTAGTTAAAAGAAATGGAAATAAATCTAGCTTATCTGCCTTTATGTTTTTCTCTTTCTTTTTTTCATCAAGTAAATTAAGAATTTCATACACACTAACAATATAACAGCTTTTTATACAGAAAACAGTAGATTTTATTCTTTCATATTTGGAGTTTACCTATGATTGAATTGTAGAGGTGAGGATCTAAGGTCTATTTCTCTACACATGTCTGTGGAATTCAGAAATACTTTCATTTCTTATTCTGCATATAAAGTTGCCTCTGGCAAGTATTGACAGATTACTGAAATTAATAGAGTTCTATTGTAATTGGCATACACTGAGACCTGTCTGGTGGGGTCATCTTTTCCTGCCTCCTTCCTCTGTATAGCACTTTTCCTTTTTTCACAAGAGCTGGTAAATGGTGATTCTCACTGACAGTGGTCCAGAATCCAACAGTCTGCTGAGTACTAGGCTCCAATGCACTGTGAGTAAGCATGTCGGAGCACATGAGTTAGACGTGGCGACAGACACAGCTGGTTATTAAAGCCTGCTCTGTACCACAAGGTGGGTGAATTGTCAAATTAACAGGTAATGAACCATAAACTCCTCAAATGGGGTCCCTTAGGGGAAAGTGCTGATTGCTGCAACACTTGATATGAATTCTATTTCTTATTTAAAACTGTATGAGAGTAATTTTTAAAACTGCATGTATGCTGTGCATGGTGGCACACACCTATAACCCAGCACTAAGCAAGCAGAGGTGGGAGGGTTGTCACAAGTTCGAGGCCAACCTGGACTACACAGTGTGTTCAAAGCTAGCCTAAACTACAAAATGAGACCCTGTCTTAGAAAAAAATGCATATATTTTATATTCATTATTTAGGACTGAATTACACATTTCTGTTGATTCTTTCAAAGGATATATTCAGAAACTGATATTTCATTACTGTTCTTTCAATAAATTGAAATAAATCATGGTACCAAAATATGTAAAGATCATCTTTTTAAAAAGTTATAAATACATCCTTTTTCATAATTACTAGCCACTAAGTACTTTTTCCTTGCCTGTTGTAGATCAACTCATTTGTTTCAGATATGATTGCAATTTAGTAGTGTTCAAAATAGAGTACAGAAAAATATGCACAAATATGCAAGCAAATACTCCATGGACAATTCATCTTTTAGAATGAGGCAGTGTATAGATAAATAACAAAAACATCAACATGAGCATAATTCCTGTTTTGTACTTTTCTTTCTTCATCTCTGGTCAGTTTTAATGTAAACTCTCTTGTCTCTTACAATTCTTGCCATTATTGTCCTGTCTTGTTCCCTACCCCATATCCATTACCCTCACTTTCTGACTTCAGGCCTCCCCTACTATAAATAGTTTTTCAGCTAAGTGATGTTCATCAGATTGTCCCATGTTGCCAGTATCAGTTTGGAAGCCCAACATTCCTGGAACACCCACAGACTACTTTCTGGTGACCAAAGGTCTTCCTTTCTCAGAGCCACTCAGAATGTCTTCCCTGCCCTCTACCATGGCCAGCTCCAGCCCAGAGGTCCCTGCCCACACTGTCCCCATTGAAATTTCTCCCCTGATATCATGGATTTCAAGGTCCCATGCTGACAACAGCTTCCACCCCTCCCACCTTGAGTGGGCAGCTCCTGCTGGATGCCCATTGACGCCTTTAACTCAAAATGACAGAAACCAAGAGAACCACAGGCATCAGTTTAACCACTTTATTAACCAGTCTGATGGCAATAGAAAGGGCTCACTCATCTATGGCAGTTTTGAGGGCAGGATGAAGCTGTTCACAAGGTGCCTCCACACTGGGAGAATCAGGCCTTATCATTTCTTCTTGGCATGGATGATCTCATCCAGCAGAGCGTTGTTGTTGTCTCCAAAAAGCTGATGAAGTAGCTCATTGTTCTCTAGTGCCCTCACCAATTGCTCTGGGAAGATGTGTTTCTTGTGCCTGCGATGGGCCACTCTGCCTGCCAGGTGCGGATCACTGGCTTCGAGGTATTCCAGAACTCCAGCGAGGAAAACGGATGTGTAGGCTGACAGGCGCTGACAGCAGTCCTCTCAGAGGTAAAACTAACAGGAAACTGTAGTTGTGCTCTTGTAGAGCGGGACACTGTTTGCTTCCTAGGCTTGGAGGATTTCCTTTTGCATTTCTTCCCAGCCCTGATGGTAACTGTGTTTCACATCAGCTGCCCCTGATTGATTTTTTTGTGGCTTCAGCCCCTGAAAGTTACAGAGCATGTGGCCACTCACTTGACTTGCTGTGCCTCTTATAGGTCAGGAGTAGGCTTTGTGACAACATCAGCTTTGTGATGTCCTCAGTGGTCACAGAGCTCTGGTCAGGACTGTATCTGAGCCTGGATGCCCCCCAGACACCTCCAACTCATAGTGCCTCAGGAAAAGTCAAAACTATTGCCATAGATTTAAAGCATTTACTAGCATTTGTTAGTGACAACAGTGGGCTTACTTTTACATGAAACATTATGGTTTTCTCTAAGCCTCTGAGGTTTCCACTGTTCTCTTTGATTTAGTTTTTAGCCACTCTTCCTGGGTCCAGGCATTTTATCCAACAAGGAGAATGACACATTCTGGATAATACAAGGATGCTCACGATTATTGTTCACCTCTCTCTCTGTCTCTCTCTCTCGATCTCTGTCTGTCTCTGTCTCTGTCTCTCTCTGTCTGTCTCTCTCTGTCTCTCTGTCTCTCTCTCTCTCTCTGTCTCTCTCTCTCTCTCTCTCTCTCTCTCTGTCTCTCTGTCTCATGGGTTGGCGGGCATCCCTATGTTGTTGTTGGGCTCAGAGTCTACCAACTCCAAAATATAGTCTGTAAGAGAGTCAGGTGTGGTAAGGAGGAAACCTGTTGTTGTGCAACCTAAACATATGTACCTGTTCTTCTTTCAGAAGGCAATACACGTAGCTCACAGATCACTGCAGCTCAGGTCTGATAGCAGACCTGATCATTGATCATTGTCTTTATAGGAACTCTTTTGGCTGTTTTTTTAGACATAGCGATTGCTAGTTTGCCTTCTGATTGGCTCTGCCTCGGATTCACCAACTGTAATAGGTCTCTGAAGCCATCAGTAGTTCTGCCTGCCCACTGTACCACAACTCCTACTTCTTATTGATCAGGAGCTATCTTTGACATTGAGATATCATTTGTACCCACTGGGCTTTGATCTGACCTAAAATTTCCAATGCTTGTTGTAGAAATCTAGTTGCTTAATCACTGGATGCTGGTTTTGAGAGAACTCTAACATTGCTCTTGACTTTATCTTGTAGAAATGTGTTTTGGTGGATAATTTGGCCCTTTTTTAGGCTATCTATCCAGGTTATCTTATTGTAGCCTTGTATTTTCTCTGTGTTTTTTTAAATAAATGTTTGTTAGCTGTAGGGTGCCGATAAACACATATTATGCATTTTTCCAGTAGAGATTTCACTATCTCCTTCCTCATGTTGTAATGAAGACAATGATCTCTTCATTCCCACATTAACATATGACTGTTTAGTATTCTTATGTCTACTATGAATTATCATTTCAATCAGTTCCAGCATCTTTATCTTTTAATTCATTTTGATCTCATACCTGAAAAAGTGTCATTATTTTTATATTGCTTGAAAAGAACTTTTAGCAAATTTGGAAACAAGAAGTACATGTTCACTGGATTCCTCTGTTAGAACCTAGTAAATATTTTTGATAGAACATGTGCCTTATGTTCAGTTTAAGCCCACTTCTGTCATTTTTGGCTCTCCTAAATGATATCAGGGCACTAAAAGATGCAGCTTCTTGGTTCTCATTTTAACTTTCCTTTTCATTACTCTTGTATTTATGCCTTTTTGTGTGTGTGTTTTGGTTCAACTGCAGTCAAGGAACCAGGGATATACTTCAGTGACATCAGCACCTGCCTGGCAAGTGGAAGGCCCTGAGTTTTATTCCCAGTACCAAAAATAAATAAATAAATAAATAAAATAAACTGTCATTTGCAGTCAATAACTTTTCTACTCAGAAAGAAAGAAATTGGAAGGAAGAAATGAGTCTCCAATGTATGCAATTTCAGAGTCCAATCATGCAAAACTCCATCAGGTTTGGAGGCTTAGCAATAATCTTGTATGGTGTAAGATGTTTTCCTCTCACCCCACTGATCTTGTGACTTCACCTGAGGCCATGGATTTGCCATCTGGGCCCTACAATCTGTCTGCATTTCATGTTTTTTCCTTTATTTTGAGTGGTGTATATTTACAGCTGAGTGGTCTTATCACTCCTTCTCTTTGTCAGAGTTTGAGAATCTAATAGCCTTCTTTAATTTCATCCTTTAGGTTTCAGTACAAGCTGGTATTGTTTCTGCTTATATAACATCCTCAAAAACTTACATATTCCATGTAAGTTATGGAAATTCATGTCATTAGACAAAAGGTTCCTTCACAGATCCCAAATGGAAAATTTCATCTCTATTTCTTATTTCTACTTCGAAGCACACCCTGCATCTCTTCAAATCACCCTCTGTGATTGATTATTTAGATCATTTGATTCCCTCAGCAGCACTATGAAAGGATATCATTTTTTATTTTATTTCCAGAAGGATGTTTCCTAGCAGGGAGCACCCAAATTTTGCTGTTTTTTTTATAATACAGATAGATTGGGACTTTTTCATATTGTCAAAACCTGGTTCTTTTTTTGCTTAATATTTTCTCAATTTATGTCCTTTCTCTACCATTTTATTGTAGACATAAAAAGCAGGTCATTCCTTCCACAATTTGCTCGGGAATCTCTTCAGCTAAATATCTAAGTTCTTGACTTACAAGACCTATTTTTAACATATCTATAGAGAAAACTTCAGCTAAGACTTCTGTCCACTATTACTATATCTATAGGACATTACTATGGGAAAATCATCCTCCTGCTCTTCTGTTTCCAAAATTATGTTCCAAATTTCCTTCTAATCCTTCACCAGCAACACCTTTGATGTTTACATTTCTATTAATAGTTTGCTTATGTTGGCTTAGATATTCTCTAAGATGACAGATTCTTTCTCTACTGTCCTGAGCAATTACTCATTTCTAAAAGCCCTGTTTTTGGATATTTGTTATAACAGCAACCTACTGCCAGATACCAACAGCTATATTAGATGGCTGCTCTGATGAATTGTAACCAACGTTGTATCTTAAGAGAACACATATTCAGACTCTTACAATTTGGGAGGTCAGAAGACCAAAATCATTTTCACTATACTTAAAACAAGTTGCTCGTAGTGCTGTGATCTTTCTAAAAGCGAATCTTTCTTTGCTTTTTCCCAACAAATAGAGCTACATTTCTCATATTCTAGTCCCTTCTTTCAGATTCACACAAACATCAAAACAAAAATACACTGGCAAATTGTTTTATGTAATGTAAAGCAGAATTTATTAGCCCTAGCACTGTTGCTATTTTTGATGTGGGGCAAGAGGGCTGTCCTATAATAAGATACTAATATTCCAGGCTTTGGTTCTTCAGTTGTGATGCCAGAAAATATCACCAATCATTGGCAGATGTCCCTTGGGGGAGAATTATCTTCAATTCAGAAATATCTACATTTTAAAACATGGATTATTTTAAGATGCAATGAGGGGATGTAGTTTAGATGGAGTAATCAAGGAATATCCTCAAGAAAGTGACATTAAGGCTGAGGGTTTTTTGTTTTTTGTTTTTTTGGGTTTTTGCTTTGTTTTGTTTTGTTTTTGGTACCAGGGATTGAACTCACAACCTAGTGCTTTCCAGGCAGGCATTCATGCTGCTGAGCTAAATCCCCTGTCCATGGGATAAAGATTTAGCTCAGTGGCTCAAGCATTTGCCTGGTAAGAATTACTTCATGTGTTTGATCCCTGATACAAAAAAAAGTGACATTAAAATTAAAAACTGGCAGAAGAATATTGAATGGTTCAGAGAAATGGTAAAAGAATATTCCAGAAAGACAGCATGGGTAAATCTCTTAACTGGTGAATCAGTTGAGGTATTTTACATGAGAACTGGTAGTTTTTTTAAAACTTGAGTGCAAGAAAAGATGTTAATCTTAGATGGCCTTATATCCACAAGTAATAAGAATCTTGACTTTAATAGACTTCTTAGCAGTTGGGTACATCCATTAAATCTGGATGAACACAAATAAATTTGTACATTTTTATTAACTAATGATGAAATAGCAAGAGATTCTAAGAGGGCACAGTAAAGAGCGAATGATTTTAATGCTATATGGTAGACTTTGCAGAAGTGGTCACAATGATCCTAATCTCTATAGTTACTCTGTGTATTTACACTCTTAAAATGTATTTCTACTATTCCTCTCATAAAAACACACTAAAAATCTCCTAATCACTTAAATCCAATCTAGATTTATTGTTTATTTGAGGAAACAAAGTGGGGAAGTGATGGTAGGGTATTAATGCGCTTTGGGTCCTCATGAGATTTTGGGTTTTTATCCTGTCACTTGAAATATCTACTACTTTTGTCATGTCAACAGTGCAACCTAGTTTTGTAGAAGATGAGAGATGCATTATTCAGTGGCTAAGGCTCTCCAGAGATGAACCAACATATATATATATATATATATATATATATATATATATATATGCTAGGGACATAACATGATATTTACATATGTGAGTCTAAAAGGGAAAGAAATTGCTTAAAAGGGAAGAACAAATGGAATAGGGGAAAGGAAAGAACAAAGAAGGGAAAGACTATATGTCTGTATATATATTCATAAATACCATAAAAAAACTACTTATCTCTGCTGGTTCATCAAAAAGAACAGTTTGTGCTTTCATAGTTTGATCATTTTTT